GTGTGTGAAGCGGGGAGAAAGAAGGAGGTGGGAGGGAGGGAGAGGAAGTCTACACATTAGCGAACTTCGTTCAGAGTAACCCATATGAACGATTGCTGTAGGCGATCGGATCACAGTGCTTCATATTCTTGCTTTGAGTACCAGGTGTATCTCCCACCCATAGGAATGGAATGCATCCTGGGAAATGTAAAATTTGATCTGCCAGACTTGTGAGTGCTTCAGGGCACGGCTGGTCGCTGTCTGAATTTCGTTATCGGTAGAGCCTTGTGAATTTCAGTTTGGATGAGGAAGATCGTAAATTCAATCGCTACGAAGTACAATTGAAATACAACGAAGGGCGTTATACAGCCATTTACATAATATCGCGGCAAGTTTGCGTAAAGTAAGAAATGATTTCCGTTGATTTTCCATAGTATTCATCCAACTGATATTATATAATCATTAAGCAACGAGACAGAAGAGAAGAACACTCTTTTCGCTATGAAAACTAGTATTCGGCCCTATAGCGTGAACATTTCCTTACGAATGAAGGTCTATACATATCGGAAGCCTTTTTTGTTGAAATGAATCGCAGCAGTCATTGAAAGCTGCTCATTTATACCCTTTTTCAGCGTGAACTTCGAATGCTGAATGAGCTCAAGAAGTACAAGTGCCCATACTGCCCAACTGTTCTTGACAGCGGACGAGTAGCCGACTTACCTTTTATAGGTAAAATGAGCTCTAATATGTACCAAAAAATTAGCTCAAATAAAATATCAACGAAAAGTGCCGATAGCAAAGGAAAAATGAACCGAAGAGATTCTCCTACAAGTCCGCACGAGTTAGGCCGCTCGGGAGAGCTGCCACAGTCTTAAGGTCAAAACATGCTTCATAAATGAAGAAAGACATGGTGATCTATGTGTAGTTTCAATGTCCGATTGCTTCGGAAGTAGGGAGCGCGTATCAAAGATATGATGCAGGCCAGAAAGTCGTGAGCGATGTTACTAGACTGACCGAGTCGAGGAGACATTGTCTGCTGTACGCCGTTTTCGAGATTGGAGAAGTACTGACTGTGGAACATGCGACAGCAGAGGCGTAAGCGATATAGATGTCCTCGTTAACATGCACTTCGCCAAGACATCGATTGATACGAAAGCCTTATAATCCGAGTTAGGCGACTGGGTATAGAAGATGTGGCCAGTCCTATGTCCTGTGGATGTTCCTCCGATTGTCTCCTCCACGCTAGGTTCTGCTTCTGTTGCATCAATCGGATGACTGAGATTGCTTGTCTTCGACCTCCTGACGGTGCTATTCTTGCATTTCAAAGGGCCCTGAGAAAGATCTTTTGCGGCTCATTCGTATCTCTCCAAGAGCCACGTCAGCCCACCATCTGAGACCTCCATCGTCCTGAGTACAATTAGCAAAATCTCAAAGAAGTAAAGGATGTGATGCGAGCAAGCATGGTTTCTGGAAGGGTTCACTACGACCGATGGTATTCACGCAAGACCGTCACAAGACCGACTAGGCGCGGCTTCACGTCAATACTAGTATAAAGGCCACGTTCTAAGCAGAGTTCGTCGATTTGAAGGCCTTTGAAACTGCTGAGATAGCAGTTAGCCACCATCTAAGCAACCAGCATGCTTCTTTCCAATACTGATACTTTGTGAGTTATAAAATGACTTCACGAAAGAGACCTCGTCATTTCACAAAAAATTCATAGTCTTGTCTGGCTTGGCGATGTAAATTACTATTGTATTTGATTGAAAAATGCTCCTCATCTCATTAAAACATCTCGCGACTTTTCTACTGCTCTAATTTCAGTAATGAACCTCTTGGATCGCAATTTCGAGAAGCTTCGTGAACAAGTAGCCATGTTCAGACCAGCTACAGTATATTATGTTGCTCATGAAGCCTTAGCAGCGATAGGGGTTGGTCTGATTTTTTCGATAAAAAAATCACAAATGAAAGAAATAATCAAGAAAATCTCCAGAAATTCATTTTTCTCGAGCATGATCTTTTCATAAGGATCGCTTTTCTTAAAATCATCGATGAGGTGGAGCCATAGAATTCCATGCCGCAGCATAACTGAGGGTTGTTAGTCATTACTTCTACCCGGAGTCTACATAAAACCACTGCACATTTGCAAAACCATTTGTAAAACCTGCGGCAAAAAACGACGTGTTTCCCTTCAACTCACGCAAGGCGCACCATCTGCATAAATCCATTACCATCACTCCATGATCACCTTTTCATGTTGAATAATTTGCAATTACAGTTTCTACACAACTTGCGGTTTATACATCGTGATATCAAAACGACAAATCTTTGCGTTGGTGTCGGTCCATTGATGACCAGGATTTATCTGATTGATTACGGTGACACCGTTAGGAAGGGCAAAAAGATCAGGTGAGGTTGAATACGGAGCGTACTGCAGGTAGGCAGATAATGAGCTAGGGTGAGGTTCGTCCTCAGTCGATGATTCCCCATGAAACTGAAGAACGGCATGGTAAGAATCGAAAACCTTCGTGTTCTTGACGGTCATCCTATCATTATTGACAAAGTTACCTAAAGGCTATTCAGAGTATCCTACAGGGCGTGGATTTTCCAGATATGGTACACCTGACGCTTACACATTGCCATACTGGAGTCTGGATGCTCATAGACGTACAGCTGCGCGCGAGAAAGGGGACATCGAGTCGTGGTTCTACGTATTTATTGATCTGTAAGGACACCCTCTCCAAGCTCAGACTTTTGGCAACTTATACCCATGACCATTTTTCAGACTTGAACCTGGATCGCTTCCTTGGTCGAAGTTGAACGATGAAAAGGCTATAGAAGCGGAAAAAGTAACTTTTTGGGAAGGTAAGTATCGAAGGCCTGCCGCACCTCCATGTTCTGTGGGCACACGACCGCTTCGTCATATTGTCCTGCCCTCAAGGCAAGCAGCACCATGTCTTCCAGTCCCCTGAGCAGCACCGCTTCTGGTGACCAGCACACGGCAGCATCACCATGCTCTGCCGGCTCACGACAGCTCCGCCATATTGCCGTAGCCTCAAGGCAAGCAGC